GTCAGAACACCAAGAGATAACAGTGGGTCCCCTATTAGTAGTAAATTTCGTGATGCTACTTTCTGGTAATAAATAGATAAGTAACAATAAAAGCTTAATAATGAATGTTACCTATGTAAAATATAACTTACCGTGTGTTAAGACGACCAGTGCAAAAGCAAACAGTATACCGGGCAACATGACCATCGTGGTAAAGTTGTGTAATTTCTTTTTAACATCCAACAATACCAAAGTCACACAATAAACTGGCCACAGTGGGAGTCGCGCTTTGGGTTTTGTTCTTCTAGGCCGGATACACCCCGCGAACCCTTGCTGTTTCCAGTACGGCGAAACTCTTCCAAAGACTTATAATTGATAATCATCGCTTACATGATAATAATATAGCCTTGGTCAATGTTTTAACCGCCGCCAACTATGTGAACACAGCAAACATACATACACACACACACACACATTTATATATAAAATTTTCTACTATCTGTATACTTGTATAGCGAACTTGCAGCCATTGTTTATAAATCACCATCTTTCTATACACTAATAGGCATACTTACTACATCTTATCAGGCCCTCATTACTCCTAAACCAATAAAATTATCTCTTTAGCAATCAAACCCTTGTAGCAACAGTAAGAATCACCAAAAATCTTCTTGTTCTTTACCAAAAGTCCTATTTAAATATAAGAAACACATATAATTTCTGACGCTGGTTATTTTTGGTATAAGTTGTAAAAGCAGTTTCATTAAAAAATACCAAATTTCTTTTTAAAGATTAAATGTATCATTTCGTTCTGACAATTGGTATTTTTGATATTATCTACGAAATAAACCCCAATGGTTACAGTAGAAATCGCTAAAATTCTGTTTAATCTTTACCATAATCCTTACTTAAAGATAAAAAATACCACACCTTTTCAGACAGCGGCTATTTTTAATATTAGCTGTGAAATAAATTTTAGCATATTCATTAAAAAACACCAAATTTATTTTAAGGAACACAATAACATTAATAATAACCACAATTTTTATTTAAAGATTTTGGTCATTTTTGGACGCATATTTTCTACCATTTCATATTAAGCAGTGGATATTTTTAATAAGTATTAAATATTAGCACATGTATTATTTAGTAAAAAATTGATGTAAGTTACTCATTACTTTTTCTAATTGTACGTGTAATTTTGGCAGTGCACGGCACCATGCACTTCAAAAATTTTGAATTGGCAAACTACCTTAATGNTAATGTGTTTCTTTCAGAATAATAACCACAATTTTTATTTAAAGATTTTGGTCATTTTTGGACGCATATTTTCTACCATTTCATATTAAGCAGTGGATATTTTTAATAAGTATTAAATATTAGCACATGTATTATTTAGTAAAAAATTGATGTAAGTTACTCATTACTTTTTCTAATTGTACGTGTAATTTTGGCAGTGCACGGCACCATGCACTTCAAAAATTTTGAATTGGCAAACTACCTTAATGCAGAGCAATCTGCTTACATTTGCTCTTTTGTAGACGGTAATTTTATTAGTGAGTTATCACAAGAAGACGTACACTTTTTATTTGATCTTTTGGAGACCGCTTCTAACGACAAAAGACTTGCAACTCTAGCACAACAAATAATAAAAATTTTATGTTACAACAGTAAGTACCTCACAATAACATTTTTTGTGTTATACCTATGGTAAAAACGGTTACGTTATTTTAGTAAAAAATTGTCAAACCGTGTGCTCCGAAAGCTTTGCAAACTGGCTCTGTAAAGCTTTCTATACAACTGGGAGGATTTCGCTTACTGTTTCAATTTTTAAACATATTATACAAAATTGTAAGTTATTTTTTGCAAATGCAGAACTAATACGTATTCAAAGTAATTGTACTTTAATTTTTAGCTTTCTCACTGCAAAATATAAGCCAGTCTGAAAATTTATTCGACTTTATTATTCACCAACTACATATTAAAGATAACAAGCCCCAAATACAGAAAAATCTTATGATAATTCTGTACAGAATAACCGGAACTGGTACGCAATTAGTTGCTGTTATAGTAAATAAAATAAATTAACTTCAACTTTCTCCATAGATAAAGGGGTCAAAATAATGTCATCAGAAGAATATTGGAATGCACTATTGCAATATTTTTTACAAAACGATGACCGATGCAGGATGACAAAAATAAAAGCGTTCACAATTTTAAATCGGTCTATACCGAAAAGAAATCTTCCACGCGAACCCGATTATTATAGCATAAATTTTAGTGATAATGTTCTGAAGGAATGTAAGTAGAATTCATTGTACGCATATGGCACACGTTCGTTACATTTCATTGAAAATAATTAAACAATTTGCGGCAACGGACATAAACAAAAGTTACAAAGTAGTGCCAAGAAATATATGTAATATTTACGCAGTGGTTATGGCAAGTAAATTTCAAAAACAGATGCAAAACCTCTTGAAATCATGCCTATTTATATTTTAATTAAATATACAAGATCCAGCACAAAAATTCATAATTTGTCAACTTATTTATAGTACAAAACGCAAATTGTTTCGAAAATCCGTTAAATGACGATATTGATGAAAGCGAAGATGATGAAGAGAACTTTGATAGTGATAGTTACGACTCAAGAAACTTTGATGATGAGATTGAGTCAGAAAATATGCAGCTTAACATAGAAAGAAACAAACCAGAATTGCCTAAACACAAGTAAGTCTAATTGCGATAAAAAAAATTGGGCCAATATCACCCTCTTCTAGATTGGAGCCGTTTTTTTCCGAACTACAACCCTCTGACGACTACGCATATAAACCAACCAAAACGAACAATCTTGAAATATTTAAAAAACTCGAAGCATTCCTAAACGAAAACGCGACGTCGAATTCTTCGCCTTCAACTGTTTATAACTATTTATTTTCACAAACACAAAAGCACAGTTTCACAAAATCAATCGCTCATCCGGATTTAATGCTTGTCGACGCCGATCCTTCCGACAACAACCAAACAATTTGTGTCAGTACAAGTAAGCAATTAACGTAAGTAACTCAACATCAGGTAGGTGTAATTTATAATATAAACTCATTTTATTTTTAGTAAAACTCTTGCTGGCAAACTTTGTCGTCTCAAATTTGAACCACCCCGAGTCTATCCGACAGTATATTTTGTTGAACAAGACAACGAAGAAAACGGATTTTCCAGGTAACAAAAAATTATAAGAACTTTAGGCTTGATCTATAGCAGAATTATTATTTGGGCTGAAACGCCCTTAGACCCCCATAATATACTTTTTGTTATGAACTTTGAGAATGTTCAAATAATTACGATACGATTGAATAATTTGATTTTGATTCATCAAGATTTTTCTTTGTCCAAAAATTTTCTTTTATTTTCCTTATTTATAAAAATATCTCGCGTATACAATAAAAAAATAATCTTCAAGTTGTTCGAAATATAACCAAAGTATTTAAAGTAGAAATTGAAACCTGTGGTAAATGTCTAATAAAAAAATAAAACTATACACAATAAATACACACGTGTTTCGTCCACTTTCTCATATGAACACGTGTTTCGCACATTTCTTAATGTAGACACGTGTTTTGTCCACTTCTTCATATGGGCGAAACAGTAATTTGGATGAGTCTCTTTTTTATTTTTCAATTAAAAATGTTTGACTACAAAGCGAACAAAATTCCAAAAATCCTTTAATAATACATACAATTTTAATGTGTTTCTTTCAGTGTCGAAACGATTTCGATAATAGATGAACATCGTTTAAAATTTTCTTCTACTTTTGAGGGAGGGAATCTACGTTATGCTGAAAGGGTAATTAAGAAAATTGACTACTTTACGTGTTCTATAAAAGAAAATTTATATGTATTTTTGTACCAGGTAAGCCAATACGAGTATAACCTTATGGTAACTGGAGACTACAAAACAGAAAACTTTAGTCAATGGTTTTATTTTTCTGTGACGAATATGGAAGCCGGAAAACCATATTCATTCAATATAATCAATTTCAAAAGAATTAACAGCCAGTTCAATCATGGAATGCAACCGGTTATGTTTTCAGTTAAGGATTTTTTACGTAAAAGATATGGTAAATTATTTTTTCTAATGAGAATTTATCTTTATTACTTATTAATTTTCGTAGGGTGGAAAAGGACGGGGAAAAATATTATTTATTACGGAAATAATTTTCGTTCGAAAACCAATACTAAACAGTACAGAACTTTGAGTTTCTGCATTACATTTTCTAATTCCAAAGATACTTGTTTTATAGCTTATCACTATCCATACACCTACACAAGATTACTGGTAAGAATTTTCTTTCTTTGTTCTCGTTATTTAGCACTTTCTTTAGAACAAAATTTGAGGACGATTTTTGGCTTATATCTCAGTCATTTTTTTACGAAAACTTACTCGTTATTTAGGGCGAAACCCTGGATGCATCTATAATAAATAAACGTGCTTGTTTTCGCGTGTTTCAGACCAATATCTACTTAAATTATCAAAAGCTTGCTGAAGATTCCATTTACGTTAGAGTGGACAAATTGTGTAACACAATCAAATCAAACGAAGTGCCCCTTATAACTATCACTGGGAAATCATCTACCAAAGAATTACAGGTAAAAATAATTAACTTATTTCTTAACTTTTTAGAACTTGCGAAAAAATTAATTTCTATTTTTTTTTTTTGAGAATTCAAAATTATATAAAAATCTAGAGAAAATTTATATTTAATCAAAAAAAATATCTGAATTTTCGCGTTAGTTCGTTACACTTTTCGAGAAA